CTGTTGTAGAGCCTAACTATGGGTTCTAAGATTTCATTTGTTGTAAGAGACCAAACAGGTAAACATAAACAGGTTTATTGTGACCTTCTCAGGTAAAGCTGGAAATATGCCTTTGCATGGAAAGATAGTGGTCATTAAGAGGAGTGGAGTAGATGGGACTGAATTTCCTCTGACTGCATCGTGTTTATTTGGAAGGTGAGGTTTTAAAAATTGTGTGTATATATATGTGCGTTGTGTATGCTTTTGCCAAATTTTTACAAATCAAATGACATTTTGTACGTTTTCCCCCCCATTGTAGTTGCAGCAGATGTGTTCTTAAATTTATCAACACCTATAATCTCATGTAAACACAGTAATGTTTAAATTGACACGTTTGATCACACAGGAAGCCAGAATGTGATATCCGTATTCAGCTTCCGAGTGTTTCCAAGGAACACTGCAGAATTGACTTAAATGAAAACAAAGAGGTAAGATCACGCTGAAGATGACGACTACTTTGACTTGTTTCATTTTAAAAAAATCTCATTTGCCTGTTTGCTGTGTTTCTGTGGAAAATTAAAAAAAAAAACGTGCCTGTTTTCTTCCAGGTTATTTTAACCAATCTGAGCTCCGTCAATCTAACTTGTGTCAACGGAGAGGCTCTGCATCAGTCGGAGCGTTTGAAGCATGGGGATGTGATAACTATTGTTGATCGTTCTTTCAGGTTTGTGTGAAACAAGAGTTGAAAAGGAGTAATTATCAGTWTTTATTTTAGTTTTTCAAGTTTCTCTTACTGTGTCTTTCTAGACACTTTAAATTACTGTTAGTTAATCACTTCATGTTGTAGACCTGTGTTGATAAACACACGTGTGACAAACAATTGTTATAATAATATCACCAAACAAAGAGGGGGGTGACGGCAACTAACCTGCACACAAAACAAACAAAATGCAGGATTTTGTAAAAGTTTTAAACCGCTTCAAATTTATTTACAGTTAGGTCCATGTATATTTGGACAGAGACAACATTTTTCTAATTTTGGTTCTAGACRTTACCACAATGAATTTTAAACAAAACAATTCAGGTGCAGTTGAAGTTCAGACTTTCAGCTTTAATTCAGTGGGTTGAACCAAACGATTGCATGAAAATGTGAGGAACTAAAGCATCTTTTAAACACAATCCCTTCATTTCAGAGGCTCAAAAGTAATTGGACAGATTAAATAATTGTAAATAAAATGTGCATGTTTAGTACTTGGTTGAAAACCCTTTGTTGACAATGACTGAAGTCTTGAACTCATGGACTAGGGATGCACGATAACTCATTTTAAGAACTGATAACCGATAACATGCCAAGAGATAAGACTAGTCAAAAATGGGTAAGGTCATAACATAAATAAACACAAAACCAAATGACACTGTAAATTATACTATTTGAAATAAACTCTTAGCAAACAAACATTTCTTAAAATATATCAAACAAAATTTCTCAAATGGTCATCTTTTTAATAAGGCACGTTAATTATAAAAAAGACCTTTACCACTGATCTCAGATTTAAACAAAAGAGGAAAAGTCATTGCACAAGTTCCAAACAGATAATGCACTAACACAAGCTAGATTCAAAGTACAATTGTTTTTATTATTATTATTAATATATGATTTCAAACATTTTTCTACCTGAAACAGGGCTTCTGAGATAATAGTGCAGAAATGATAACCTGTCAATCAAAGTGGGAATGCATTTCCACCGCATTATACTTACAGGAAGACACACAGAGAGCAGCAACTCGGCTGGTAAACCATGGCTAACAAGGAAATAAAAGCTTCAGTCTTTAGCGATGGTGAATGGCTGCTTGTCATCATTTCCATCGTTAAACCGCTTGAGATCTGCGTCCTCTCTGGCAATTTTATTGGGTTTGTCAAAAGTCTCCGCAATGATTTAAGTCCTGACGAGTTCTTGAACGCTAGCTTGTTGTTGTTAGCATTTTAGCAGATGGACTCTGTGCTGCATTCAGGAGGTAGTGGACATTACATGTTCTCAAATTGGGAGCAGTGTTTAAAAAAAAGTGAGAAAATGTGTGGGTGCCGACACGCTCGTTGTTATAGCCTGGCGGGGAGGCATGTAAAGCCTGGCGGCCCGCCAGGCATAGAATGCGCTGCGGGAAACCCTGAAATGTAAAACATGGTCATCGCCTTACGTTACTATTTGTATACATCTCATGTCTTCTCTTTTTCTACAATGATTTTTTTTAGGTTTGAGTACCCGCCAGCACCCACACCAAAGAAAAGATCTTCATCTGGAGCCAAGTCTGAAACCCTCAAAGTAAAACATGTTCATATTATATCCCAATCGTTGATCTGTCTACTTTCTGTTGTTTGTCTTAATGAGTAATAATAATGCAATTTTATAAATGTGGTAATCAATACGTCTTGTGTTTAGGTTCTTCAAGATCAGCAAGTAAGTGACACAGTTGTTGTGGAGTCAGGAGAGAAGAGGAACTTTGAAGTATCCACAGGTAATTTTGTAAGACAGCAGATCTTTGAAAGCCACATGTTAACTGCAAACACAAGTAATTATTTTTAATAAATATCAGTCGAGTGTTTCATGAAAAGTTAGTTGTGAATAGCAAAATACTAAATGGTATGTTTGTGTCTAAGACATTGAAATTCACACATTACAGTCTTGCATATAGTAACATTTTATAAAGGAATTTAAAATGTATTTTAAGTGTACAAAACTGAATGTTTTCAGGCCCTCGTCCTAAAGATGGAGCCAACTTGGACAACATCCATCGATCCCTGGAGAAAACTTTGGAAGTGGAGTCTAAGGAAGATGGAAGCCAGCTACCAAGCAAGACCGACTCTCCTTTCAGCGAGCTGTATCAAATGATCAAAAAGACTCTTGATGTCAAGACCCCTCGCAAATCCTGCGCAAGTCTGGCTCAGACGCCTTCTTCAAAGTTTTGCACTCCAAAACCTGGGTCGGTCTTGAAGAATGATAGAAAATCTGCCAGCCTCACACCCAAGAAGGATGAAGCTGAACTGCTTGAAGATGCTAAAGGTAGAAGCGGTGAAACGCCACAGTCCGTTAGGAAGCAGAGGAAAATCGTGCCAGTTTCTCCTGCTGACGCAGTTGAAGTGGCAGGGGATGAATGTGCTGCAAAGTCTGAAGCCACTTCAAAACAGAGGAGGAGCAGTGCATCGGCCCAGAAGTTCACCGTGTCTGAGGTTCTGCAGCTACTTTCTGCTCCAACATTCAAATCACCCACCAGAAGGAGAAGCAAAGAAACTGAACTGGCCCAGACTACAAAAGAAGAACCACCACAAACTAAGTCTCCAAAATCAACAACTCCTAAAAGGTCCTCTCCAAGAACCTCGGGATCAGCTGAAAAAGGTTTTACTTGTTTATTTACTTGTTCGATGTAATAATTGAAGATATTACTTGTGTATCTCTGTTGTATCGATATGGATGTTTAGGTTTTTCTTCTTTCTTGAAGCGTCCAAAAAACGAAAGAGCAAGGAACTGGAGTCGCACCTAGCACCAAAGATGAAAAAGAAGCGCGTTTCCTTTGGAGGTCATCTGAGCCCGGAGTTATTTGACAAACGTCTGCCTCCTGACTCTCCACTGCGCAGGGGGGCTGCTCCAAGGAGAAGCTTGTCTGTCTGCAAACCCAAGCTGTCTCTTCTCAGAAGAGCTTCTGTCATTGGTTTGCTGAAAGTAAGTTTAACTATTACATATATGGTTTCAGTTTGACAAGCTGTAAACTTTTATTTAAACTGTTTTTTTGTTTGCTTTGTTTCCCCTTAGGAGAAAAGTCCAGTGAAGTCAAAAACTCCATCACCCAAGAGGTCCTCGAGTGTTAAAGTTGCTTCTCCTAAGACCCCACCTGGGAAGAGGTTGTCAAAGTCTGCATCTCCTTCCCCCAAGGCTGCCTCCTCTGCTAAGAAGTCTCCACAGTCAAAGTCCCCATCTCCCAAAACCACGCCCCCTGGAAAGAGGACTTCCAAGTCGGCATCTCCTGTGCAGGAGTCTCCAAAGTCCAGGTCTTCAAGCCCAAAGGCCATGACTCCTGCTAAAACCTCTCCCAAATCCAGAGGCACTTCTCCTGCACAGGAAAAGCCTAAAACGTCACAGAAGAGTGCATCCCCAGGTCAGCAAACCTCCAACACAACTCCCACTGCCAAAGAAAGATCGTCACTTAGAAAGTCAAGTCCTGCCTCTTTAAAAAATGTTTCCCTGACTGGCGTGACCCCGGTTAAAACCCCCTCAGATGTTGGAGTCGGTACCCCCACGGTAAAGGGGCGCTTTTCTGTGTCACTAATCAGCACCCCTTCTCCAACTGCAGAGGCTGATGCTGTCACTCAGCAAGAGCCTTCAGCCACTGTTACCCCCAAAATACAGCTGAAGAGGAGAAGCATGAAGAGGACTTCCCGGGGAACTCCAGGTGTTTCCAGAAGTGCAAGGCACATTCTGCAGAGGAAGAGTGGCGTTTCACGAGCATCAATGAAAGGTGTGTGAAACGTTGACAATTTTATTAAAAGAGAAATATTGGTTCTTTGTTGTAAGTGGTTTATTATTTACCTTGCAGTTTTAAATTCCTGGGCGGAAATTGTCAAATTTGGACAAGCCAAGACCCAAGTTGTTGCTCCAGCTAAAAAAGTCACCCAAAAAACAACAAAGAAGAAGGTGGCAAAACTCCAGGTTGGTTGAATAAACTTCACATGTCTGATTTTTACAAAATGCCACATMAGTTTATTAACTAAACTTTCGGAGAGAAGAAATAACCTTTTAAAAACGTGATTGTCTTCATGTGTCAGACACCTGCCAGGGTACTTAAGGGCCACATGAGCACTGGACACGCAGACTCACCTGTAACCATYGTTGTGGGCAGAGCTCACAAAAGAACCGACGCACATCCACCTGGAGCTGCACCCAGAGTGGTCACCAACACCGCACTCTTCAAAAAAGACTTGAAAATGGACGAGAACCTGTCTGGTAAATCCTCCTCCATCAAAACCAATGGAAGCCTCTGTTACATTCCGAGTTTTCAGTTTTGTAGCTACTTATGATGTGCTATGCTTTTTTTTTTTTTTCAGGCATTTCTGAAATGTTTAAAACCCCCGCAAACGAGAGGAAGAGAAGATCTTTGATCACTGAGCGCAGCGCCACCAAGACGACCCCTGAAGCACCGGCTATGTCTGAGATTGAACCAACACTGCTGAACACTCCAGAGGAGCCAGGTAATCTGTGTTCTTCAGGATGAGATTAGTAAAAAAAAAAACTATATGTACAAAAATCTAACTGGAGAATGATAAAATGAGTTGGTACATTAAAAAACTTTKTTTCCAGGTGAGATGATGGTGTCTCCTCTGAGTGTGGCCTCTACAGTAAAGAGTCGAAGATACAACAGCGAGGCAGTCCAACGCCTTCTTATTGAGGATCAACAATCAAGCCTCATCAGCGACGCTCCTGCCTTAGAAGATCCTCCTGCGTCTAGTGAACAGCAGGACCTAGATAATAACACGTCTGCAACTCCCAAACAGAAACCTAAATTACCAGATTGTCTCACAGGAGTCAGAAGAATCATGAAAACACCAAAACAGAAGGCAGAGCCCATCGAGGACCTGAGAGGGAAGATTCTGAAAACTCCCAGGCAGAAAGCAGAACAACAGGAGTGTCTCACCGGAGTCAAGAGAATCCTGAAGACTCCGAGACAGACGGTTGAGCCTTTGGAAGACATCAGAGGGAAGCTTCTGATTACGCCCAAACAAAAACCCGTGCAAGAGGAGTGTCTAACTGGAGTCAAAAGAATTTTTAAGACCCCAAAACAGAAGGCTGAGCCCCTTGAAGACCTTAGAGGGAAGCTTTTGAAGACGCCAAAAACCCGAGATGCTAGTGAGGTGAGCTTGGATGGTGTTAAGGAGCTCCTGGAGACACCAGTACAAGAGCAAAAGTCTAGTCACCAGCCTGACATGTCAAATGTTAGAATCCCAACCGTCAAGAACTCACCGCTGTTGTGCCTTACGGATGTGAGGAAAATCAAAACCCCCAGAGAGAAGTATTCTCCCGTCGAAGACCTGGTTGGTGTGAAGAGGCTGATGAGATCCCCTAAAGAGAGGGGCGAGCCGGTCGAAAAGAACTTTGGAATCAATAGACTCATGAAGTCGCCGAGGCTGAGGGGTGTCGCTCCATTGGAAGACTTTGAAGGGCTTCAAGAACTCATGCAGGAGCCCGAGACAGAAAAGGAGTCGAACAAAGGAATAGTGGAAACCCTCCCACAGGACCCTGCAGAGGCACCACTGCTACAACCTGAGGTGGAAGCAGTAGAGAAAAATCCACCYGAGGAGGAGACATCTGCTTTCAAAGTCACAGAACTGGATCCTTCTACCGAGGAGAAACCTGTTAGAGACAGAAAGGGAAGAACGGTCAAATCTGAGGAGGAAAAGGCCGTGCCAGAACCTTCAGAAGATCCTGTTATCTCTGCTCCAGTCAGAGGAAGAAGAAGGGGAAAAGCCGAGGCTGCAGCACCATCCACTGTTAAACACGCAACAAGAGGCAGACGTGCAGAGGTGACTGAAAGCATSAATCCCACTGTGGAAGAAAACGCTCCTCCGCCTACAAAAGCTGCTCCCAGGCCCAAAAGAGGAAGAAATGCCCAAAAAGCCCCGGAGGATTCAGCCGAAACAGTCCAGGCTGTTGTTGTTGAAGAGGAAGTCACTCCAGACCCTGAGAGTAAACAGGGCTCATCAGCTGGTTCTGAAAATCAAGTGAAAGACCAGGATGCACATTTGGAAAAAGCTGAGCTAAAACCCAAACGAGGGAGGAAAAATAAACAACCTGAACAAGCTGCAGAACAGAAACAAAACAAACTCCATGTGCAAACTAAAGAAGCACCAAAGGGTAGGCCATCTTTTATTTAAACTTTATACACGTTTCAACAGGAGTCACTAAAAACTATCTTTACCTCATGAAATGTTAGTAGGGTTTAATGTCTTCTTTGTTAATTTGAAATTATTTGCGACCCATCACATCGAAACAAGGATTAAATCCATAAGTGGAATGTGGAAAAATAGGCAGATATAGGGTTTTGATTTAAACGTGCAAAATTTGCATTTTGTCAAAATATAATGAATTAATACCTTGTCAAGATATGATTTGAATGAACTGTCTGAAATATAATCCTAAAAACAAACTTTTAAAGCATTTTTTTGAGCAGTAGCAATGAAAAATGCATTAAAATATGGAATTTTTCCCTGTGAGCTAGCAATGTTTTGTTTCTTTTCAACTGGGAAATCTTAATATACAAATAATATTTGTGGTTTCCTCTTTATATTGACATCAAAAATGACTCAATRAATTTACATAAAATTTGGAATCAGACCAAACAGTAATGAATTATCATAACCAACAAAACAAATTAAGTCATATCTCTGGAAAAAGCTCGTGATATCAGAATGATTCAGGTATCAAAATGTAGCTTTTAAAGCAGGAATCTGAAAATGTAATAAGGTCATTTTGTCTAACTTGGACTTAATCCTCATTTTGATATGATGGTTCACATTTAAAAGCTAAAGCAGAGATTCATTTGATTTTATCAGGTTGTTTTCTATCAGTATGTTGGCAAATTCTGTGAGCTTGACTTTATTTTTCACTGGTTTTTTTTAAGCAGATGAGGTCAACAATGAGCAACCAGAGGTGTTGTCAGGTGCGATGGAAGCTTTCCTCCAAGCCCCTGRAGTTGAAGAAATCACAGAARTGAGTACAGCTCCTGTGCAGAAGAWGTCTGTCCGAGGCCGAAGAACCAAACTGTCAGAGGATGAGCAGGAGGCTGCAGAAAGTTCAGACAAGATTGTTTCTGCTYCGGTCAGGGGAAGAAGAGGAAAGAAACCTGAAGTCACAGCACCCCCTGCTGTTAAACAATCCACAAGAACCAGAAATGCAAAGTCTCAAGAAAGTGCCTCTGCTCAGCCAGCTCCTGAAGCACAAGTGATAGCTGAGGTTTCCCAAACCTCTTTAAACACCACTCAGGAGACAAAAGATTCTGCAMCCACAACAGAAGAAGTGGCACCGAAGCTGGTTAGAGGGAGAAAACCTAAGCTGACACCTGCAGTGAGCAGTGATGATGTCARTGCTGAGCCACCTCAGCCAGTTCCAGCTGCTGCTGGAAAACCCAAGAGAGGAAGGAAGGCCAAATCTGATCCTGAGGAACAAACTGTCATGGAAGATGTCAAGCAGCAGTTCCAACCTCCAGTGAGTGCCAAGAGAGGAAGAAATGCCCAACAGAAAGAAGAGCAGGAGGAGAAATCTAACTGCCAGGAGCCTGTTAAGAAATTAAGGAGAACAAGAAAGCCTGAGCAAGACCAGAAAGACGAGGTTCAAGATGAGGCAGGATCTCCACCTGCTGAGACAGTGGTGATGCCTGAACAGGCCATTGTTGCTGAAAAACCCAGGAGAGGAGGACKGAAAGCAAAATCAAACACCAAGGCTACAGCCCCYGTAGAGKCCAAAGAGGCCATAGAGGTCCCTGTTGTCTCCACAGATGAACCAAAAAGAGGAAGAAGAGGAAAACAAGTCCTCCAAGAAGTTATCACCTTTRAAAATCCAGAACGTGAGCTTGAAGAGCATAAAAATACCAGCTYRTCTCCCCAAATKATTAGAGCTAGCAGAGCAAGAGGAAGAACAAATGAGGTTTCACAAGACATTCCAGCAAAGAGAGCGCGTCGAGGTGCAGCTACTCCTGTTGAAATCACAGAAGAACCAGCCGTACGGACATCGACACCAGTGAAACCTGCAAAAAGAGGGAAACAGGCCCCTGCAAAGCCCATGAGAGCCAGAGAGGCCCCAGTGACCAACCATCCAGCAAATCCCTCTGAAGACTTGAGCGAGGCTGCTGTTGAAGACTCGACGTCCACAAAATCGGTCAAGTTTAGCTCAGACGTGCAAGTCTTGGAAATTTCTAAAGCAACACCCGTAAAGGCTGCACGAGGCAGAAAGCCCAAAGTCGCAGACGTTAAAAGCAATGTTGTCTCAACGGATGCCAACAAGCCTGAAGAGAAGGATCTCTCAGAAGAAATGATCAAAGCTCAGCCCGTCAGGAGAGGTAGACGAGGAGTTAAGGCTGCTGATGTGACAGCAGACTCCACAAGTGAGCAGGGCCCGAAAGATGCAGAAGCCGAACCGCAACCCAAAACCAGACGAGGAAGATCAGCAAAAAAATAATCCATATGTATATATGTTTGATCATAATTACTGTTTATCCTCTTTATGTACGTGTTTTTTAGATTTTAATACATCRTAGTGGGTAGTTTTATTGACTGAAAATAAGGCAGCAGGGATACTTGTTTAAGGCATTTTAATTTTTTYAAAGTTCTATGTTTTTTCTGGTTCTTTTCAATTATTGTAATGTTGGGGGGGACAGGGTTATTAAATGTTTTATGGCGATTAAAGTATTTGTGCCGTTTATTTTTTATATAGATAGATAGCTACTTGTGTGTGTGTGTGTGTGTACACATACATTTTATAAGTTAGAATAAGTTATTAGATTAACTACTCAGGCTTTGTAAATTTTAAATGTTTTTGTCCTGCAAGTTAGTACTGTGTGTGAACTGATCCACAACTCAAAGTAAAGCTAAGATACAGTATATGTAAGGGCTGTATTTTAGAGTCAATAAAATTTAATTTATTAATTTCATTAAAACAAAAACCATTTTATACACAATATACTATAAAAAGAAAAACGAGGAAAAATATTTGTGCGTATATTGAAATGAAAGGCAGCAGAGTCAGTGGGGAAAACTCAGAAATAATGATGGGCAAATGGAGATTAGAAGCGATTCTTGCCTGACAGCAAATCTGAAATTTACATAGACCGTTCACCAGATTTTTATTTTTTTATTTAGTATTATTATTTTGGCGAGGGTGTTTTATATAACGGAAGAACTTGTTTCTACATTTTTCAATGAATTAACTTAAATTGTGAAATGTAATTAAGTGGTTCATATAGTATTTTTACAATGTAAAAAAAATAAATAAAAAGCGAAACACATTAACAGCAACGTTACGTCACGTTGGTGGAACTAAAGCGTAAGAAAGAACCCGGACAGATATTAGTGACGGACTGAACACAAACGAAGTTGGAACGCATTGAGGATAGAAGTTAACTTTACTCACAAATAGAATTCTGTGATTTATTATCAGAATATTTTTGTTTATTAGCACCATGTCATCAGACGCAGACATACAAACGACGTTGAGAGGGTTTTTCTGCTCTTTGTGTAACGCTAATTTACCGAACAGTAAGTACTGCATTGTTAGCTACACGCGCGAGTCTGAAATTACACTGGTGGACGTGTTTTGTATTCTATTTTCCAAATGTTTTAAAAAAATTTACTAATCTGTAGCGAGGAAATTTACATTTGTAGTTGATATATTTACACAATTCAAAACCAGAAACAGCTAATATAGTTTTTTTTTCTCCGTTTGCGTTAGTTCACCTAAAATTTTCAGAGTGTTTTTAATGTTATTTTTAAGCCTCAAATATTTTCAAGTTTTCTATCATAGTAATTTTCTGACAAAGTAAGCAATTTAAAGTGTATTGTTTTAAAACTGAAAAGAATATTGCACTGATCCGAAACAAAAATGGAGGGCTCAGTCAGTCTGTGCAGAAGAGCAAGATGGATTGTTTCCTCCCATTTAATCCAGATTATTTAAAATCCGTCAAAATATAACTCTCTAAAAAATGAAAATAACTGCTCAGATTCATGTCCAACTTCAAATGGCCTTAAACAATACAATCAGGTTCAGTAAATTCYGAAAATATCTCATAATTTAAAAAGTCATCAGATTGCATAGACTCTTTAAAATTACACATTTTTTAGCTTGTTGGCTCCTACAGGATGAAGAGGTTTGTGCAAACATGTCCGTGTTTGTACACATCTGCATGAATATGTATACAGATCTATAGTCCTCTAACCCATTATGCATGACAAGTGCTTTATAAATGGGATGTAACAATACATCAATCTATATCGATCAGTTTGAATCTTTCACGATTCAGCTATATCGAGGTAAAATGAAAACGTCGTTCTATATCGTCATCATATGYTCGATGTGAATCAATATATGCCCATCTAACACAGTCGTTGTGTTAGATGGGCATATGATATCTCATATCGATCGCAGACGTGAAGTGAATCAAAATCGTATCATTACAGAATTTGTGATATTGAGAAATACTGACTCGTTATCCACACATATCAATGTAATATTGTCTCTGGTGATTTACACCCCTATTTATAAATAAAGTTTGTCTTGACTGACTGTGATGATCTGGGGTTGTTTTGTATTATTGTAAAGTAGGGTTGGGCAATATTGGCAAAAAAAATTAATCACGATTAATTGGTGTATTTAGCCGATAAYGATTAACTTGACAATTATAATCACCTGGAGGTTATGTCCTAGTCACATGACCAATTTAKGGGGAAMGATTTCCTCTTCATAAAAATCTGTTCTAAATTGTGTCAAAATTACAGACTTCAGGCTATACATCAAATTTAAATTGTGTTGATAGATAAATAAATTACAGAACTTTTTTAAATGTTCGTCACGTTTTAAGTGGAGAGGAGCACCGAGCGGACTGGGTGGTGCCATTAATCGTATTAATCGTCAAGAGCCAAAAGATAATTGATTAACGTTTTTCTGACGATTAATTGTACACGATACGATTATGCCCAACCCTGATGTAAAGTTGCACAAAGTGTGTAATAGTCTGAACCATTATCCATTTTGTTTAGATCTTACTCTGGCTGGTCAGTTTTTCATCCTATGACTCTAAGACGTAAAGGAAACCTTTAAACAGAACTATGTTAAATAGAGAAAAAGCAAACAATAATGGCAAAAGTCTCCAAAAATAAAGCTAACTGAAAGGTTTTGGGATGGGCCGGACAGAAAGGAAAGGTATAATGAAAGCAACTGTTTAACAGAGGTTTTAGCCTCCWGATGGAATGGTGAGTATCCTGTCGGTTCTGTTATGTGAAGCTGTAGCCATTCCCTCTGATTAAATTGAGATATTTTTCTGACTGGTAGTGCCGAGTGTGGAGCAGCATGTGAAGGGGCGGAAGCATCAGACGCTGAGCACCGTACGAAGTACAAGAAAAACTCAAGAGGAGCACAGTGTGTTCGTCAGTGGCATCAAGCCTGAAATCTCTCAGACAGACATCACTGAGTACTTTGAGCAGTTTGGGCCTGTCACCGACGTCATCATGGATAAAGACAAGGTCAGACAGCTGCAAATAACAGAATATATGTAATAATATTCCACAAGTCTTGCTGCTCTTTGTCAACCCGAATGATCTTTTCAAAGACCCCCGAATGACACGTCTGTCTGTGTTCACAGGGTGTATTTGCCATCGTGCAGTTCAGTGAGACCGACAGCATCCAGGCAGCTCTGTCCTGTGTAGAGCACAAGATGAAAGGTCTGAAGCTGCGAGTTAAACCTCGGGAGAAAAAGGAGTTCAAGTTGATTCCCAAGAAGAAAAATGACCCCCAGAACCTTCAACAAGTTCTTGATCGTCTCAAACCAGACTTGTGTCAGCTGGGATCTGTAAGCATTCATTTTTACATCAAAACTCAATGATGCAGCTTGATAATGCCTGTGTATAAAGCTTCTAGAATAATATTGCTTAATTTGATATTTAACACCAAAAGCTGCACCTCCATGGTGCCTGTTTGGTCTGTTATTGARATGTCTTGTTAACAAAAGGACTAGAATGTTGTGTTTTGCTCTTCTTCAGGTGGATGCCCAGATGAAGTTCATAGTTGAGCGGTTTCAGCTCGGAGAAAATGAGAAGAAGGCCCGAAGCTTGTTGATTCAACTCCTTCAAGAAGTATTTGTTGAATTTTTTCCAGGTGACATCTTTAAAGTCTGTAGTTGTGCACAATCTTTTACGTAATGACATCAAAATATCCAGCAGTTGTTCCAATTTTCGCTGTCTTGGATGTTTTCATCGGTTGCAGACAGCCAGGTTCTGCCATTTGGTTCTTCTGTAAACACTTTTGGCATTCACTCRTGCGACTTGGACCTTTTCCTGGACCTCGAAAACACCAAAGTGTTCCAAGCCCAAGCCAAATCCACCATGCAGCAGGTTTGACATTTCTACATCTAGTTTTAGTTCTAATATAAGTAGTTTTTTTCCTTCAGAGTTAGCGTGGAAAAGTTTCTCCTTTGTACTTTTCAGTCAGGTGAAGGAGTGTCAGATGATGGCCGCTCTGAGGACTCCATCCTGTCTGATATTGACCTGTCCACCGCTTCTCCAGCTGAGGTTTTGGACCTCGTGGCAACCATCCTGAATCGCTGCGTCCCCAGCGTGCACAAAGTCCACGTGGTCAGCACCGCTCGCCTCCCTGTCGTCAAGTTCCACCACCGCGAACTGAACCTGCAGGGGGACATCACACTGAACAACAGGTCTGCGAGGACGTCTTTAAAGGGATCCCCGATTAGTTGTAACATTAAACTTTATTTGATAAACATTTATTTTAACTGTAAAATAAAGACTGTAAAAATATTGTAGGCTGTTTAGTTTTGTAATTTTTAAAAATATATATTTTAACATGGACGGAGCCATTTTATTTACACGCAAAGCATTCTGGGTAAATGATGACATGGATAGGTCCTCGGTGCGAGGCTGCTAGCGAGCTATATCCACCCTGAAGGTTAATCTTGGACAAAGGCTGTGTCCAAAACGACAGGCCGGGTCCTCCGGAGGACCC